TTAAAAAAAAATGCATATATAAGGCAAACAAAACAGTCTGTGTATATTTTTAATAGATTACTATTAAATTCTCTAGTCTCAAAACATTGTATTATTTATAATAATATTACATATACAACTTTGCCTGTTCAAGATGCTTCCGAAGCTTAATTTCCAAACATTTTCGTCATATGAGATTTAATGTCTTTATTCCATTTATCTTTCTTGTTCTTTCTCTCTCTCTCTCTCTCTCTCTCTCTCTCTCTCTCTCTCCCCCTCCCTCTCTCTCTCTCTTTCAGAATTTTTGACAATACATAACATACAATTTGCTTGTTGTGTCACAATCTCCTGAAAGAAAAACAATATTGCAAGTCTTTTTGTAATATTGTACTATTATGTAGGAACTTATTAATTAATAAATTACTTAAGAAGACATAAATTGTAAGAATTCTCAGAAATATATTAATATGTTAATTTATGTATAAGCTTTATGTGCATAAGCATGTAATACATATTATTTTATATTATCTCTTATTATGATATGCAAAATGAAGGATGTTAGTAATTTTAGAATTATTTAATTTTGTTAGAAAATATTAGAGACAGACCTAAAACATATACGTAGGAAATATAGTATTACATATTATGGGATGTTAGATCTAGAGGACATACACATATAAATAAATGTAAAAGTTAATAATCAAAATTTATTCTAATTATATACATATATTTTAAATTTTCTAAAAAATGTTACAAATATAATTAGTACACTACAAATATACAAAAGATTCTTCATATACAAGCTTCTGGAGTAAAACTTAAAAATTGTTGTAATAAACATTAAAATAATTTTGGATAAATACGATTTAAATTCTAAGTTTCTCTCCAGAACATGCATATAAATAAATATAAAAGTTAATAACTATTTTAATTGTAATATACATAATCATTTAAAGAATATTACAAATACTATCAATTTGTATAACCACACATATACATAGATTTTAGAATTTGTAAAATTTAAAGACTCCTGCATCATACAATAAAGATTAAAAATAACTTTTGATAAATGTTCATTATAAATATATTTTTTTTTCCAATTTTTTAAAAATGTATGTTATGTATTTTATGCATCTCGAAAACATAAAAAAAGAATCTGCTCGAAAAAAATTTCCTCTCGTCTGGTACTCTTTATTATGAATGTATTTTCATTTATAAGATTTTTTTTTTAATCAATGAATACAATGCGTGTTTGTGTAAATCTTATTTTTTTTTTATAAAGCACGATGTTTGTAAATCAACATTTTATATAAAAAAAAAATCACTAATACCAAATTTCATCAATATAAGATTAACTTTAATCTAGTTCAATTTCTTACTCCTTTTTCCAATCATCAATTTTTAGAATCAGAAAAAGATTAACAGTAAATGAAAAATTGAGAAAGTTAATCTACATTGATGGAAACGGGCGTAAAATGAAAGGGATAATTTTTTTCGAGCGAATTTGGTTTCTACGTATTGAAATACATGAAACGTGCATATTTTAAAAGAAACCAGAGGGGGAGATAAACCCCCCTCGACGATGAACATTTTCTCGCTAGCTTTTGGATATTTTCCATTTGATGACACAAGTCGACATAAGTGTCGTTCTATCTTTCTTGACATTCAGAGAATGACAAAGATAGAATGACATTTATGTCGATTTGTGTCATCAAATGAAAAGCACTCTTTTACGATTTGCAAAAATTACAGATAAGTACTATCTACAGTGTTAATTTCTTACAAAAATCTATTTACAAAGAAACTACGCGGCGATCAAAATGTCGAAAACGGGTGGAATACTCGCATCAAATATCCTCATCGAGAACACGCACATTCCTTTGAAACTACCTGTTCAAGTAAACACGTGTGTACCTACACGGAATGTGCCGCCGCGTTATATACAAATAAAGTACACAAATGACGCGAAATATTTTCCGATTTCAACAATACAATTACAACACAGAAGAGGATCACGAGAGTGATCTATGAGATCAAGAAAGTGAAAATGAGATCGCAGGGATAAGAACGAATGTCACGTGAAAACATGGAACAAGGAAGGGAATACCGATACCTGACCATGGTAGCCATGTTGCCCTAATCTGCCTTTAGACGAACTTGGGAAATTTGCGGGAGAACTACCTTCCACCTCCGGATCGCACTACCGATTGTACGGCGCGTTCGAAATGCGATTGGAGACACAATCGGAGGATTGTTTATCGTGATCGCCGTCGCTCGATTTCTCAATCTGACGGCCGAATTCTCCCAGAAAGCGTGTGTCCCAGCGACGATGAGTATCTCCGCTGATACACACACCACGCACACCCGTGTTCGTGGCTACCAACACAAATCGTCACACCAACAAATCTCGTTAGACGTTTAAATTTTCAAATCTTCGGAGAAATGGACGGTCCCTCAATTCGCGTGCTTAATGACTCGACCACAAGAGGGAACTGGCGGCAGTGTAATGTATCGGACACGGAGTACAAATATAATAGCGTGCATAGTATAGAGGAAGAAATGTAGAGTTTTTATAATTTTTGTAGAAACTCTATTATATTGTTTTGTTAAAACTCTCTACTCTATTGTATTGTTAATTATTATTATTTATTATATGTTATTACTACATTATCATTATTTATACTCTATTATTATCTACTATTATTATTATATTGTTATTGTAGGAATACTAGAAAACTGTTTCAATTCAATTCACGTAAAAGTTCACAATGATTTACGATGGTTACATAGGGAATGCTTGCATATAATATGTGTAATAAAGCAAAGATTCTAATAGATAGTAATAAATTAATTATGTATATTATAATATAAAATATAATATAAAATATATTGTTGAATTCGAAAACGAAAGAAAATGATAAAAATAATCATTTCTTTTACAATATAAATATCAAAATTTATAAATAGAAATAAATTATTTTATTCTAATCTATGAATTCATTATTTTATTGCGTTAATTGCAATTGACTTATTGTAAGAATCAAAATTTAATATAGAGATAAAGGAAAATAAGAAAATATTTTTACTAATGTTTCAATAAATACAAAATTGTACAAACTATTATAAACATATTATAATATGTGTAGTATATGTAAATAATAATTCAATAAATATGTATTATGAATAATTTGTAAAATACATATAGAAATTAATATTTCAAACTACATATATTACTGATATTAACTATGATATTAACTATGATACATAGATTTAATTTAATATTTAATATATTAGTAATAATAAAAAACATAAATAATTTATATTGATTCCAAAAATCTCACCAAATTTCTCCGATTTTTCTGAACGATCCGAATGTAGAAAATCATTAAATCGTTTATAATTTCCAACGTAGAAGATGATAAACTTAAAAGGGAGCATTAAAGGAGGCATTAAAAAGGACATTTATAGTTCCAATTTTATGGAATATAATTAATAATATATTTAAGATCGTCTTAGGCGAATTATAGATAACACTTAGTTAATGAAATAATCATACAGCTTTTCAAACTTAATTATTAATAATTTGTCTTATTAAATAACAAGATTGAAATATAAATATCACTTGATGAATTAATATTTATTACATTATGTAATATAATAAACATGAAATACTTTACTTTTATAATTTTTCCTTTGATTCTGATTATGCCACAGTTTTTCTGTTATCAGCAGCATACTCGATAGCAACTCAATGAAACACATTTCTCTTACAAAAAGCGTAATGAAATAGCAATTTATGTTACGTCATTCATCGATAGCTGTGATGAAGAGCCTTTTGAAGAAATATTGAAAATATGTCCTGATCGGTTTCTTATCTTATCTCTTTCTCTATTTAATGTTACATCTTCCCTCCAAAATATCTTAATGTTATATCTTCCTTCTAAAATTGATTTAATTCTTATGTTCATTGCATGTTTATTATTATTCATTTTACTTTTTTTTTTGTATTTGTAAATCCTCTTTCAAGTTTTTTATAGAAGAGTATAATGAAATATTCTGTAATTGATTGCAAATCAATTAAGTTTTTTTTGACTCACAGATTTTTCATAAAGAAATTTTAAGCCAATTTTAAAAAATAAATGCATCAATTAAGATTCTAAGTTAAAAGATCTCAAGAAATTTCTGAGAACTGAATCTTAAGAATTTCGGAAAACAAATCAATATTTATTTATTCTTTTTACACAAATAAACTTCATTTCTTCAAAATTCTTTTTTTACAAATGCTCTAATGTTAAAAATATAAATAATTAATTGTTCATCGACGCATCTTGTACGTTGCATATTAAATAGTGAATATAAACATTGTATATTTAAAAAATTAAGAAACCTATGTTTCTGTATATCGCAACGCAATGTTAAAATAATTGTAAAATTTAATTTAATCTAAATTTTTTTAAACTGAAATCTCAAATATCTTTAGATTTAAAATAAATCTTAAGATTTAAAAGAATATATAAGTATATTCTTTAAATTAAATTAATTTTATTAATTTCCATATTATAATTAAGAACAAGACAAAGAATTACACAATAAATTTTTTTAATCTATCTTAAGTCTTATTTATTATAATTTCAAATTTGTGTATGCAAAATATTTAACAGAACGTTATAATTATTCTCCATTCTATTTTTCATACTCTTCTTTTGAAAGATTTCAAAGCTGTCATTAATTATAAAATATAAATTAGGTATACCTCAAAAAAAGAAAATAATCTTCATTTGATACAAAATATACAAACGATTTTATATTTTAATAATCTACAATACAATATTAGTACAA